GGGAGAAGGGAAGGAAATGATTTCCTTCCTTCCTTCCTTCCTTCCTTCCCCTCCCCCTGCCCCCTCTTTTACTCGCTCCATTTTTCGCGCTGTAATTCTTTGCTCCTGAACTGCAGAGAAATGCTTGCTACGCAGACTATTTTAATTCTAAGTTGCCATTTGGCATGATGAAGATGGCTCAAGTGAGTGACGGTATTAGTTGTACAATGTAAGTTGTCTTTTAATTGAACTTAGCATCGTGTTTACCTGGAATTCTTTGCAGGGCTTAAAATAACTGATGAAACTCTTGAAGATAGACTGGCCTATGATGAGATTTTTGTGGAGTACTTCAATGCCTTTTTAGCACTACCAGTGAGTCACTGTTAAATAAGAGTGAATAAATGAACTTGAACTAGACCTGGTACATGTACTAATTCCATTTTCCTGGAGTGATATCCTGTACACATCTAATTTTCAGCATTCTGGCTTACGCTTACTATGATATAATTTAGATAGCATACTTTGTGAAGTTGTGGTGGCCTCGTGGTGAGTGTGTGAATCAAGCAGTCCGGGTTTAAGCCTTGGCCAGGGACATTGTGCTGTGTGTATAAATGGGTACCAGCGAATTTAATGCTAGGGGGTAACCCCATGATGAATTAGCATCCCATCTAGGGGGGGGAGTACAATTATTCTTAGTAACTTCATGCTACCGAAACCGGAGATAAGCACAAGTTTGATGGGCCACTTGGCTTGTATGTGGACTTTTCCTTACAATTTGAACAGACACTAGATTGCATGATACTTGTGATCAGCAATGTCAAGAACAGTGTCATTCCCAGTGTTTCATCAGATTGCCATAATTACCCTTGGCTGTTTTTCTTGTTGGTTTGTTGTTGTTGTTGTTTATGTCACACTTTGCAGGCCCCTTTTACATGTAGCTGTCCTTAAGTTAAGTCTCTTACATACCTGTAATTCAATATTTTCCAATCAGGCTTTCATCAAGCGTTTGCAGTATGACTCCTTATCAGGTACTTTCAAGGATTTCACTGGAAAGACAGACTTTGAATTCCAACAACTGCAACCAAGTCAAGATGTAGAGGCTGATGCAAAACAAAGAGAAAAGGTCATTGCTTGGGTGAAAAGAGAGAGACTGCCCTTGTTCTTAAAGTAAGAATCAAAATATAAGTATCAATGAAAATAAATTGTCCATATTCTTAGTACAGTTGATAAGAGCAGGGATGATGCAGTGGTGAGAACGCTCAATTCTGCCCAGTGCCATATGTGGGTTAAGTTTGTTGTTGGTTCTTGCCTTGACCCACGGGTTTTTCTCTGGGTTCTCTGATGTGACTTCCTCTCAAAATATTGTAATTTAGGTTAAATTAGTTCTTGCTTGACCGGTCATGACCAGTATACAAGATTTTATGTTTGGTCAAGGCTATGAAAATGTCCATTTTTATTACCCTTATCTTCTTGCATTGTCTACCATATATAAGCATTACCCTAGCAATGTTAACGGTTTTCTGTTCAAGAGATTAATCGAAATTTAAAAACTCGGTGCACGTGCGTGGTCTAAATTTAGTAAGCTTAATCTGCGCTTAATTATGACTTCTGTTATAAGATGAAACTTTTTCAAAATGTCCGCCAATTATCTTTAAGATTGATCGCTTTCTGGACGTTAGATTGGCAACAGTTTTTTCTAATAAAATTTTATTTCTACAAGAAATCGGACTGAAACGAGAGTTTACATAAAATTCAACAGTGTATAAAACTCTGTGAATTTCAGCTTAATTTAGTGTCGAGCTTAGTTTATTTGTCCTAAATACGAGTCTAACAAGGTAATCGGCTTAATGCTACCGTCTGAAAGAAAGATAATTGTCTCACCTTTACGATAAAACTCAGAAATCCAGCCAAGCCGTTCTTTACGTCCATTAAGTAATCGTCTTGAGCTGAACGAAGGTTGGTGCGAGTGGAAGACGTTGGTGTTATTTTGGCGGGAAAATTGGCAGCATTGTATGCCACACTGTTTATTATATTTTCCTTCAAAATTTCTTGATTCACGTTGATTCCTTGCTCGAGCACAATGTTAATGAATAGAAATTATCTAAATGTATATTTCTTATTTTTTGAAAAGGACGTTTTATTTACGTGGAGAGGAATTCTGTGCGGGGAACGTGAGTGCTTCATCGTCAAGTTTTTGGCGGGAAACTTAAATGTAAATAGCTGCCGCGTTGTCACTATTTTCATTTCAGCCATTTAGGCCAGAATTCGCTACGACTGAAGTTTGAAGAATTTATCTCTCGTAACATTGCATTTTTTACGGTAAAAAGATTTCCTTGCTGCTTGTGGCCTTCTAAAAACCGTTTGTCGACCACAAGTTTTTTTCGGCGGGAAAACGGCCGAGTTTGCTCTAGTGTTCGACTACTGTAAAAAGATCGCTCTTTATTTTTCTGGTTTTGTATTCCAGATTTTTAATTCAGCTGCTGCTCCTTTCACCTGAAAAACGTCTCTTTAACTATTTTAATTCAATTTTTTTTCTCTAGGACCCATCTTTACCTCGAATACAAACTCTGCCGTCTCCTTCTTCGCACGCTTGACAATCGAACCGCCCGTGTCAGTAGTCGAGGTCTTCGAGGCTACAGCCGTGCAACAAGTTATACAGTATTTAGTCCTGTTGGCAGCGGAGCTCGTCCATCCAGTCGTACTTCAAACCAGTCATGGCCAGGAATTTTAACGCGACATTTTGGAAGGAGGCCATTAGGTAGTGCGACTAGCTTGCCTGCTATGATGAATTTAGGCCTGGGACAGAAAGTCGAAGGAAGCCAGGAGACCGGAAGTGAAAATAACAAGGAACGGGAAGTCAGGATGGAAGGTAAGGGATGGCCAATGCCGCTAGCCATGATAACCATGAGAAAATCCATTCATGGGTTTCCTTTTCCAAAAAAGTATTGACTTCATTTTCTCGTCACGCAATCTTGCCTCCAAACGCGTGAAGATCCCAAAGAGCGTCGGCGTTAAGGGCGCTCATCCGAAATGTACGTTGTACGTACGTTTGTAAGTTGTACGTTTTTTGAAGAAGAAGAGCTGGCTAAATGGTTCACAGGAACCAGAGTCGCTGATGCGCCATCTTGGTTTTTCTGATCCTTAAAATTGTAAAATAATCACTGTAATCCAGGTAACACTTCAAAATGAAATTCAGACGGCTATCAGTAAAGGCCAAATTGTACAGAAGTTACAATCAAAAAAAGCCTCAAAGGCCCAGCGTTTATTGGTCCATTTTATCTCTCTGAAGGAAACGTTACCATTGAAGAAACAAACGCCGGTGACGGCGTGACTCGCGCAAATGACGAAACTGACACAAACGAATCAAAGAACGAAAAGCGCAAGTCAAGAGCTAAAAGTGTCACGCTTAAAGATGAAGCTCTGACCCGTAGTAATTCAGGTCAGTTGTTTAACTTCCATGTTCACACATTTTTCCGTCTTGGTTTTTTTTAATATGTGTTATAAATGGTTCAATTCAGATCTGAAGGAGGATGTTGTGATCACATAACATTATAGGTTGCTAGGAAAAACTTAAAATACAATCTCTTTATAACGAAACCTCTCCAAAATATTTTTGGAATTAATGCAGGATTCATTTTCAATGTTTTTTTTTCTTTATATTTTCTTTTTCCTTGCAAAGATCCCGGACTGCACGAGAATGTAGAAACCAAACCGAGAGAGACAGAGGAACCGGAAGCGGAAGATGACTTATCAGATGTCCCGGATAATGAGCTTGGTGCCGTGGTGGAGTTTGATGAGGATGAACTTGATGAAGCTCAGACCGAGGCTGATGTTAAAAACATCACAACTAAACATCAAATCACAATCGAGGAATTAAAGAGAGAAGTACTGGGCTCGGTAAAAAAAAGCGTTTTCTTCATTAGGTCGTGTTCTGTTGGGATCAACCCTATAACCGCAACCGGTTTAGGTTTATGCGGTTGTTTTTCAATAGAACACTTTTCCGATCGTTTTCGATTGAAACGCGTTAAACTCCTGGGAATATTCCTTACGTGAGCTACGATCACGCGATATAATCATGAAAGTGTTTGTTTCACCCGTTTCAACCTGGTTTAAGGCCGGTTGAAAAAGTTGATCAATCAAACCAACCGAAACCGGTTTTCCCCAATAGCTAGATCACGAAAAAACCCAACTAACCAGAAACGGTTAATCCCTATAGAACACGACATAAGACTCTATAAGGCCGGGTCAACTGTAGATTTGTTCTTTATTTCCCCTTCCCCAGTGCTTAATTTTTTGGCTTTTGGTTTCACACGCAAGGGAGAAGTGGCTTATTAGATTCAGGATTTCCAAGTTGCAAATGCCATGCTTTAATTACCTGCATAAGCGTCTTCATAGTTGCTCATCAATGTCGACTTGTTTTGCTCTTTTTTACTTTGTCAACTTGTTCGTTTATATCTATTTCTTGTAGTTCGGCATTGTGAGATAACAGTTATGGCCGCCATAGACTGTCCACAGCCCATTTTTTTCGTATTTTTATTCGATCGTTGAACGCCAAGATAGAATCGCGAGAGAATTGAACGCCAGCGCAAAACGGGAGACTAAATGGGGTAGGGGGTGGAGACCGAGTCTTTTCGCTCGCCACCCTGCCCCACCCCCTTGTGCTTGGCGCTCGCGCGCTTCGCTTGCTTTTTCTTTCGTGTGCGTTGAAAAATAGAGAGGTTGTGAACTATGGCCGCCATTACATAATTCCACGCATTTCCAAACACAATATTCATGCTGAAGGTGGGGTGGGAGGGTTGCTAACAGAAAGGACTTAACGGAAGGGGGACCTTCAATCAATAAAGGACTGAAATAGATGAAATTAATACAGCAAATAGAGCTAAAATCTCAGCCTGCATTGTATCAAGTAGTTAGGGTTTTGTATCGTGTTTTCGTTTACATCGTGAAACTTTTTTTGCTGTTACTTATTTTTTTAGCTGCAAGGTATGGAACTCTTCAAGACGTTTTTAGAGGACACTTCGGGTAAACATTTATTTAATTTCTGGCTGGATGCTGAGCGCTACAAAGAAAGTTTGGAGTCTGAACCAGAGGACACGTTACGAGAACAAATGACGAGATTGTTCAGGTGGGTATGACTACGGAGTCAGTGCATGAATGTTAATTTTTTTTTCTTTCGAGAATTTTGTTATAGATACGGTTAAGTCACAAAGCGTATGAATAACGGAAATACAACTTGTTTTTCAACAGGGAAATTCAGGACAAGTACAAGAACTCTCTGACAGTCGATGCAAAGGTGAAGCTTATATCAGTTTTACATCTGTGGGTTTTTATCCGGCATTTTCAATTCATTTAGTTTTTGGAGCTTCTTCAACTTTTTTAACCTACATGTATTATGCGGTGCCTTATATTTTTGGTGTATCTCTGAAAATTTTTGAAGAAACTCCGCTTTATTTCAGAAGAAGTAGTTTAATGGAATTTAATTTTTGTTATTTCAGGAACAGATCGAGAGGGCACTATATCACGGGGGCCTGACACAGGACCTCTTTGCAAGAACCCAATACGATATGCTGCGAAGATTACGCTCCTACTGGATCCCAAGGTTCCTTGTTCACGTGGAGAGAAACAGTGACTTTGGGTAAGGAACTTTAAACGAGATGTGTATATATGTACTCACTGACTGGGTGGGAGAACCGGACGGGAAAATCTTCCCTGGGGAGGTACTTAATTTGTTTGGTCGAATGGATGGTCGGTTGTTCATTTTCTGTTTGTTCAAACTGTGGTAGTCAACTTTGCCTGCTTTAACATTCTCTCTTTTTATACTTTTGTTCAGAGAACAGTACATGGGCTTTAATGACTTGAATCGCCCGCCGTCAGGCTTGAGTTTCTTTCCCACACTCTCGTTTGCTCATTCATTGCCTCCGCTGGGGGAATGGTGCCGAGAGGTGGTTCGGTCACGCCAGTGGGACCGTGACATCATGGTGAAGGAGAATAGGAACAAGTCGGCGCGGAGAAGACTAAGTCGGATACCTGAAGTGTGAGTGTTGACAGTGACCAGATTTAAACTTCTCTCTTCTCCATCACGACAATTTTAAATATTATGAGTATGAAGTTTAGCAAATTCTCCACACAATTATGGAAAGAACAAGTTGCTTGTTGGATTTATCCTGGGCTAGATAGGCCTGCCGAAGAATACTGTTGAGCGAGGCAATACCAAAAGTAGGCCTCACCACAAAAATCCGGATATTTTTTGGATACTTGAGTTTTCCGAATATTTAGAAAATATTGAGATATTTAGAAAATTTAGGGATATTTAGAAATGTTCATAGCGTTTTTTTGTCGTAGCTCCGTGTTGTCCTCACTTTTTCCTTGAAACAATACTTAGTTCTATGCCATAAACAATTCAGTTCAGTAATTTCTCCCTTGAAAAATTTATTCCATATCACTAAAAGCGCTAAAGCAGCAATTTTCCAAAATGGCGGTTGCTGGTAACATCAACGTGCCTGAATCATCATCCTCAACTTCTACTCTGCGAGAAAAGTTTCAAGTGATTCAAAAATGCTGTGTCTTTTTTTGAAAAAGTACGAGATAAATAGAGGGTTTCTCGAGAAATTTAGACAAATTTTTGTGACATTTCGAAATCAGTTTTTTTGAGAATTTCCAGAAAGATATTTAGGCAATTTTACGTGAAATTTGTGGAAAGGTGAAGCGTTTGTCAAGGTGGGATAAATGAGGCAAATGCTTGGCTAGCACTATAGATGCCTTATACTTAGTGACTTTAGAAACTAAACAGAACATATCAGCAAAGGGCAACATGGCTGTGTTTTTCCTTTCTGACGTTGAATTAATGAATTCACAAAGCGACAGTCTTTCTTTTGTCCTACTTTTTATTTAGGAATGAAGAGCAGTTCACATCAGCACTTCGGGTCGAGAAGGAGGCAGGATGTCCTTTCAAACGCCACTTAGAGAAGTAAGGTGTTAAAATCTAGAAAATTAATAAGTTTTGTTTAATTTGATCTTTCTTAGAACAGTCCAGAAAGTAATCATATTGTAAGGTCAGTTACGCGCTGATTATATTTATTTCGTCACACTTGAATCTGCAGTAATTCCAAGGACAACAAATCTTTGTTGTCTTCTCTTCTCTTCTGGTTGGATGTGACCGATTTTAACGCGGCGGAGAAGAGATCTGGTGACAGGTACCTCAGACTGGTCAACGCCTGGGCAATTTTTAACAAGTATATTGCTAACGGTAAATAGAAAATTAGATTTCTTACGTTTAATTGCTTGCTATGTTTTGGTCTGTTGGCGTTGTTTTTTTTTTCTTTGCTAGTGTGTTCAAAAAATTAATCTTCGTGGGTGATAAGAGTTGTCGACCGGGCCTGGTTCGTTCGAAAGGTGGATAACGCTATCCGCTGGTCAAATCACTATCCAGTGGATAGCGTGGTTATTTTGTTAATACTTACCCATTGGATAGCGATTTATCCGGTGGATAGCGTTATCCAGCTGCCTTCCAACAACTGGGGCCAGTCGTTTTCTTTAAAGGTTTTGGCGGGGATATTTTTTTTATCTATTAATTAATTTAGTTCGTTTCTCTCTTTCCTTATTGGACTCGATTTCTAACGTCTGTAGCATGACAAAATTTTACGTGTTCAACCGATCGGAGCTCATGAAGAAAAGGGTCAGCAAGCACATATGACATGTGACACGTGATATATAGGGTGGGAAAATGACGTAACCGGTACCATGCACGCGCGGCTAAACATGCTGCCGGCGGAAAGCGCGGGAAAACATGTAACTGTTAGAAAGCGCGGGAAAACATGTTGCCAGTGTCAGCTCCTAACCNTGTGGTAGTCAACTTTGCCTGCTTTAACATTCTCTCTTTTTATACTTTTGTTCAGAGAACAGTACATGGGCTTTAATGACTTGAATCGCCCGCCGTCAGGCTTGAGTTTCTTTCCCACACTCTCGTTTGCTCATTCATTGCCGCCGCTGGGGGAATGGTGCCGAGAGGTTGTTCGGTCACGCCAGTGGGACCGTGACATCATGGTGAAGGAGAATAGGAACAAGTCGGCGCGGAGAAGATTAAGTCGAATACCTGAAGTGTGAGTGTTGAGGGTGACCAAATTGAAACTTCTCTATATTTCATCATCGCAATTTTAAATATGAGTATGAAATAGACTTCTAGCAAATTCTCCATACAATAATGGAAAGAACAAATCGCATGTAGAATTTATTCTAGGGTAGAAAAGCCTGTTGAAGAATACTTTTGAGCGAGACAACACCAGACGTGCTTATAACAATATGTGTCACTGTGCCTGCAATATCTTAAGTTTAGTTCACACTTCACACTAGCGACATAATAACATAACGGCATAAGGAGGGCGTTATGTCGTTATGTTTGTAGTGCGGACATCCTGACATAACGACATAGTAGCAACATAACAGCATGAACATAACGACACAAGGAAAAAAATCTAATGTTTTTCTTATGTCTTCATGTCGATGATCACATTACTGACATAAGCTACTTTGTCGTTACGTCGTTATGTCGCTAGCGTGAACTAGGCTCTAGAGGTGAAGCGTTGGTCAAGGGCGGATAAATGAGGCAAATTCTGGAACACTATAGATGCTTTACACTTAGCGACTTTCGTTTAAAACCGAACAGGAACTAAACAGAACATATCAGGAAAAGGCAACATCGCTGTGTTTTCCTTTCTTAATTCACTAATGTAACCGTGACAGGTTTTTCTGCTTTTGTCCTTAGGAATGAAGAGCAATTTACTTCAGCTCTTCGGGTCGAGAAGGAAGCAGGATGTCCTTTCAAGCGCTACTTAGAAAAGTAAGTTTCAAAATATGTTTAATGTGTTTTACCTGCACTTTAGAAGCTAAAACTTCGGTGAGTAGCTAAATTTAGTGCGAGATTTCTATTTGCGTTGACAAAATAGTATACGTTTTTTGGAGTGACCTTCTCCTTTAAAAGACCTTTAAAAGAACTTAAGAACGGTCTGTCTTACCGTATCTTGCTCGTATTGGTGAAGGCTCGGAAAATTATTAGAATTTTGACAAAACGCAAGTGAAATTATCTCGTAATTTAACGAGTATACCATTTCATTACCTTTTCATGTCATGGGTGACAAATTATGCTCACAATCTTGGGTTTTTGATTTGTTTATTGAATCGAGAAATTTTAAGCCAAACGTTGCTATAGAAATTTGTAATTTCACACCTAAAAAATTATAAATTAAGGCTGAAATTTTGCGCCAAATTTGGGAGTTATTTGTCTCCTATGATATTAACGCAGAAATTAATTGTTATTAAACGTTACTTCCTAAATAGTTTCATTTAACTTTACAATTATTCTTGAATCTGTAGTAATTCCAAGGACAACAAATCTTTGTTGTCTTCTCTACTCTTCTGGTTGGATGTGATCGACTTTAACGCGGCGGAGAAGAGGTCTGGTGACAGGTATCTCAGACTGGTCAACGCCTGGGCAATATTTAACAAATATATTGCTAACGGTAAGTAGAAAATCTTTTTTTTTTTAACGTTTATTTGCTTGCTATGTTTTGATCTGTTTGTGTTATTTTTTTTTCTTTCTAGTGTGTTCAAAAAGTTAATTTTCATAAGTGAGAGTCATGTCGATCAGTCGTTTTCTTGAAAGGTTTTGGCGCGGGATTGTTTTTCTTTTTATTTGTTAATTAATTTAGTTCCTTGCTTTCTTTCCTTACTGTTCTCTTTTTTTTAACGTTTTTAACGTCTGTAACATGACAAAATGTCACGTGTTCAAACAATCGGAGCTCATTAAGAAAAAGGTCAACAAACACATTTAGCATGTGTTATATAGGGTGGGACATGACGCAACTAGTAACACGAGCCGGTAAACATGTAACAGGAGGAAAGCGCGGGAAAGCATGTAACTGTTAGAAAGCGCGGGAAAACATTTAATTTTTTGAAAGCGCGGGAAAACATGTTGCCAGTGTCAGCTCCTAACCAATGTGCAGGTTGTCCCTTTGGATCCTTTAAAATTCCATTGCCTGCGCGTTTATTGAAGCTGGCAAATTAAATAGAAAAAGAATATTGTGACTTTAAGGGTGTTCTACGCTTTAGTATGCAATTCACTTGGTTGCCATAGCAGCTGACAGTAACCTCCCTTAATTGATGAAATTCCTCGGTCTCTCTCACAATACTTAGATTCTCTCATGAGNGAAAGCGCGGGAAAACATGTAACTGTTAGAAAGCGCGGGAAAACATGTTGCCAGTGTCAGCTCCTAACCAGTGTGCGGGTTGTCCCGTTGGATCTGTTAAAATTCCATCGCCTGCGCGGTAATTGAGGCTGACAAATTAAATAGAAAAAGAACATTCTGAGTTTAAGGGTGTTCTACGCTTTAGTATGCAATTCACTTGGTTGCCATAGCAGCTCACAGTAACCTCCCTTAATTGATGAAATTCCTCGGTCTCTCTCACAATACTTAGATTCTCTCATGAGTATTGGACTTCCTCAAGGAGAAAGACAGAAACTAGAGCGCACTCTCCACTCGACTAGCGATTTACCGCTGGCCTTTTTCAAGCCAGCTCAGGTGAGTGTGAAAATTAACAACTGAAATTGAAAATTTGTCGACGATCATTATCGTCGCTTCATGCTCGCTATTTTAGCCCCATGGATCTTTGAATTGTCATCTATTCTGTCACATTTGATCAGATATAAACCATGAACTTCTAAGAATAAACCTAGGCTATTTCTGACTTTTGCACGGAATTTTGCCTCCTAAAATATACAATCTGCACAGAGGAATTTTCACCTCAGGTATTGCTGTGCCAAAAATTTCGTAAAAAAAGCTCGTTGCAAATATGTGTTTCTTTAGGAAATTTCCATTCTCTTAATTTGTGGCTCGTAAATTTTTTGAACTAATTGATTACACGAACGCCTATTTTTCCATGGTAAAGCCTTTTGAAAAATGTTAACCTGGAGCTTTTAGGAAGTTTATAGAATACTCCTCTCTTCCCTCTTGCCCATAATGATTTCTAACGTCTCCTGTCATCTGTAATAGGACCATGCTATCAAACGACTCGAGCCAAGCTGGGAAGCCTTCAAGCAATACGAAGAGGAAACATTTCTGAAGTACGTTCCATTCTCAAACTTCTCTTCACAACCTCATAAATAATTCATCAAGTTTAAACAAAGGAAATTATGACCGTGACGGTGTTTGGATTTCTGATCGTAATTTGCATAGATTCTTACGATTCTAGTTCTCCGTTTTCTCCTTAGTTATAGTTTGGAATTTGACTGTAGTTGTCCATCTCGAAATTTGTCAGTGTATTTAAAGGAGCTGTGTACCGGAAAATGCATCTTGAGCATTTTGTATTACTATTGTTAAATGACAAGTACAGTGGAACCTCGATTTAACGAAGTCGGTGGGGACCGGCCAAATTTGTTCGTTAAATCGAGGGTTCGTTATATCGAAAACCTCGATATAACGAATTTGAGGGGAAACGACCAAAGTGTTCGTTATAT